CCTGAGTTTCCTCTCCTCACCTAATCCCTTCGGCTGATTGCTCTTCTCTCTGGCTTCCTGGCTTTTAATCCTCTTTCTCCTGCTCTTCCCACCTGCTACTTTGGGCGTCCCTGAGTTGTCTCTCCTCACCTGTAACCCTGGGGCTGAATCATTAGAGGACTCAAGAATTAACTTAACCAAAGATCTAAAAGACTGACACCTGATACTGTATTTAAAAGCTTTCCTATTCTAGAAACAAGGAAATATTTTTATAATAATAATAATAATAAAATGGATGTCTGGAGAAATTCAGAGAAGGGAAAGGAATTCAAGGAACAGAAAGATCACCAATGCACATACCTCAAATTCTTCGTCCACTTTATTTAATGTAAATTCTGCATCATCTTCTGGAACAGTTTCTTCTTCTAATTCTTCTACTGGGTATGTTGGCCTAAAATAATAAGGCTTAATATGAAACGACAGTTTAAAAAAGTATCTTAGGCGGACACAAGAGTATAATGTGAATATTAAGAACCTCTTCTGCAACAGATATTAGCCCTTTTTTGCCTCCCTCTACCACAACCCTTCCCATAACCACTGTTAAGCATATTCATCCTGAAACTTTCTATGTAAAGAAATAAAAATGTTCATCTCCACATTTTAAAACAAATGTACATAAATGAGATCATCCCATGCCTATTGTTATCCAATTTACTTTCTTCTCTTATCAATGTACTACATTCCAGTATATATACGTCTTTCACATTTTTTAAAAATGGCTGCACTGAGCTCCATTGTGTATCATAGGAGTCCTTGGGTGTTTCAAGCGTTTAAGCGATTGACTACTAGTGGAAACGGTGGCAGTTTGAATCCACCTAGTGGGGCCTTGGAGGACAGGTCTGGCAATCAGCTTCTGAAAGCTCAAAGCCTTGCACATCCTATGCAGCAGTTCTACCCTGTACAAATGGGGCCACCATCAATCAGAATCTACTTGACAGCAACTAAAACCACCAGTACTATAATTAACGTAACTGGCACCATATGACTGAACAGTGAGGTTGTTTCTATTATTTTCTGTTAAACAATGCTGCAAAGATCATCCTTGTACATGTACCTTTATGAAACTCATTTAGAATAAATTCTTCCAAGTGGGATGGCTGGGTTAACAACTTTGTATATATGATTGTTTTGTTAAAATATGCCAAATATTGCCCTAATTTATATTCCCAATACTGAAGAACAGCTTGTTGTTGTTGTTGTCATGTGCCGTCGAGTCGGATTCGACTCATAGTGACCCCTCCTTGGGTTTACGAGGCAGTATCACTACAGAAGTAGATTGCCCCATCTTCCTTCCGAGGAGTGGCTACCAGGTTTGAACCGCCAGCCTTCTGGTTGGCAGTCAAGTGTTTTAGGCACTATGGTCACTCCTTTTTCATATTTTTTCCAACATGGGGTACAAACTTTAATCTTTGCTAATCATCCAAGTAAAAAAATTTCATTCTTGCATTTCTCTCATATGAGAGAGGTTGAACATCTTTTCGTATTTTAACAGATCATCTGTGTTTCTATTCTAGTGAGATGCCTACTTATGTCATTTGCCCTTTACTTTTGTATATTAAGGATTTTTTTTTTTTTTTTTGCCACCTTCCCATTTTCTTCTGCCTGACCATTAGTCCAGGTTATTTGCCCCGTCCATGAGTCAGTATAAACCCAATCACTGAGGCAAACAGCATGCAGTTTAACCCTCAGTGTTGCTTTCTTTTTATTACATTTTGTTAAATCCCTTTACCCATATCAAACCTGTCTCTTAATTAGCCATCTATTTTCCTTCCTTTCCTCTCTCTTTCCATCCCTGATCACCAACAAAGAAAATTTCCTTCCCTGTGTAAATCTTTCCTTGACTTTTATAATAATGGACCCATAAGTATTTGTCTTTTTGTGATCAACGTATTTCACTCAGCATAATGTCCTCCAAGTTCATCCATGTTATGAGATGATTCACTGATATTTCATTATTCTGTAATATTGCAAAGTATTCCATTGTGTATGTACCATAGTTTGGTTATCCATTAATCTCTTAATTGCAAATAGTGCTGCAATGAACATGAGTATGAATAATTTATTCCTGTCCTGGGTCTCTATTCTTTAGGATATATTCCTAGCAATGGGATTGCTGGATCAAATAGTATTTCTATTTCCAGCTTTTTAAGGAAGTGCTATACTGATTTCCACAGTGGTTGTATCATTTTACAGTCCCTCCAGTACTGTACAAGAGTTGCAATCTCTCCACACCCTTGCTAGCATTTGTTGTTTTCTGTCCTGTTGAACTTTGCTATTATTGCTGGAGTAAGATGATATTTCATTGTTGTTTTGATTTGTACCTCTCCAATGGCTAATGGGAGCTCTGGTGGTATAGTGCCTAAGGCATTTGACTACTAACCAGAAGGCTTGTGGTTCAAACCCACCAGCCACTCCTCGGAAGGAAGACTGAATGAACTACTTCCACAGTGATACCGACTAGGAAACCCAAGGAGGCGTTGCTATGAGTCAGATCCAACTCGACAGTAGTGAGTTTGGTTTGTTTTGGAATGGCTAATGACCATGAGCATTTCTCCAAGTGTTTGCTGGCTGCTTAAATATCTTCTTTGGTCAAGTGTCTCTCTGTATCCTTTCCCCATTTTTGAACTGGATTATTTGTCTTTTTGATGTTGAGGTATTACAGTTTTCCAAAAATTTTAGAGATAAGTCCCTTATCAGATATGTTGTTGCATATTATTTTTTCCCAATCTCTCAGATCTCTTTTTACTCTTTTGGAGAAGTCTTTTGATGTAAAATATATTAAGGAAAATAATGTTTTGCCTAACCTGGGTTAAAAATATTGTTCCTAGTTTATTACCTATTAAAATAATTAATAAATGGCTATTCAAAATAAATACAATTCTTATTAGACAAACTTGACAATCTTTTCTTGTATGGACCTTAACTTTAATATCACATAACAAGGCATTCTCTCACATTACGTATTACTCTAGCCTTTTAGTACTTCTAATATCATGTTTTACATTAACATCTTTAATCATATTGAAATTTACTTTGATATACACAATAAGAAAGGCTCCAGATTTATTCTTATTTCCAAAATCTAGCTAGTGGTCCAAATACTAAATACATAACAATCCATTATTTATCCACTGTGATTAATAAAATGTATTTCCCATATTAAAAAATACACAAATGTATTTGGGTTTATTCCAGAAACTTGTCTTAAAAATTCATAACTCAAACAGGTTAACAAAATACAAAATCAACATTTATCATTAAGAAAGGAAAGTACTTTGAACCAAATTAATCTAAGGAAAGAATATCCTAATTAATCTAAGAAAAATTTGGTAACTCAAAAGCAATGTTCTTCTAGGATTTTTGCGATTTATATATATAAAATAATCATATATAAATATATAACTTCTTATAATTTGGAAGCTCTGGTGGCACAGTGCCTAAGACATTTGACTGCTAACCAGAACATTGGCGGTTCAAAACTACCAGTCACTCCTTGGAAGGACAACTGGGCTATCTACTTCTGCAGAGATACCACCTAATTTATATCTGCTAATATAATCACTAATGGTTAGTACTTTTCAATGTCATTTTCTTTCTTCCCCATGTATTACTATGGGGAGCTGCCATCAAGCAGACCCCTAACTCATGGAGACCCAGGAACAATGAGAAGAAATGCTGCTTGGTCCTATGCCATCCCCATGATACATTATGGATGGGAACACTATGATCCACAGGATTTTCAAAAACAGATCACGGGTCTTTCTTCCTAGTCCATACTAGTCTGGAATCTCCAGTGAAACCTGTTCAACATGCAAGCCTCCACTGACAAATGGGTGGTGGCTGCACATAACGGACAATGGCTAGCAATGGAACCCAGATCCCCACATGTTGTGAGATGCTGTCGAGTCATCTCGGACTCATAGCAACCTTATGTACAACAGAACGTAACACTGCCCGGTCCTCTGCCAGCCTCACAAATCTCTGCTATACCTGAGACCATTGCTGCAGCCACTTTGTCAATCCATCTTCCTGAGGGCCTTCCCCTCTTTTGTTGACCCTCCACTTTACCAAGCATGATATCCTTCTCCAGAGAAAGGTCCCTTCTGACAATATGACCAAAGTAGGTGAGACAAAGTCTGGTCATTCTCACTTCCAAGAAGCATTCCAGATGCACTTCTTCCAGGGCAGATTTGTTAGTTCATTTAACAGTTGACGGTACTTCCAGCATTCTTTGCCAACACCACAACTCCAAAGCATCAACTCTTCTACGGTTTTCCTTATTCATTGTCCAGTTCTCACATGCCTATGAGGTAAATGACAATACCATAGCTTGGGTTACACGCATCTTAGTCTTCAAGGAGATATCTTCGCTTTTCAGTGCTTGAAAGAGGTCTTTTGCAACAGATTTGCCCAATGCAATACATCTTTTGATGTCTTGACTGCTGCTTCCTTTGGCAGTGACTGTAAAACTAAGTAATATGAAGTCTTTGACAACTTTAATCTTTTCTCCGTCTATCGCCATGCGACTTACTGGTCCAGTTGTGAGGATTTTTGTTTTCTTTATATCGAGGTGTAATCCACACTGCAGACTGTAGTCTTTAATATTCATTAGTAAGTGCTGCAAGTCATCCTCACTTTCAGCAAGGAAAGCTGTGTTGTCTGTGTATCTTAATTAGGTTATAATTGAGCCTTTCTCAAATCCTGATGTCACATTGTTCGTCATACAGTCCAGTTTCTGGGATTATTTGCTCAGCATACAGATTGAGTAAGTATGCTGAAAGGATACAACTCTGATGCACCCCCTTCCTGATTTTAAATCATGCAGTATCCCCTTGTTCTGTTCGAATGACAGCCTCCTGGTCAATGTACAGGTTCCTCATGAGTACAATGAAGTGTTCTGGAATTCCCATTCTTCTCAATGTTATCCACAATCTGTTATACAGACAATCAAATGTCTTTGCATAGTCAATAAAAGAGAAGTAAACAGCTTTCTGGTATTCTTTGTTTTGAGCCAAGATCCATCTGAAATCACCTATGATATCCCTCACTCCACATCCCCTTCTGAATCCAGCTTGCATTTCTGGAAGTTCTCTGTCAATATACTGCCACAACCGTTTCTGAATTATCTTCAGTAAGATTTTACTTGTGGGTGATATCAATGATATTGTTTGATAATTTCCACATTCTGAGGGATCACCTTTCTTTGGAATGGGTATAAATATGGATCTCTTCCAGTCAGTTAGTCAGGTAGCTGTCTTCCAAATCTCTTAGCATAGCCAAGTGAGTGCCTCCAGCACAGCATCCACTTGTTGAAACATCTCAATGAGTATTCCATCAATTCCTGGAGTCTTGTTTTTCGCCAATTCATTCAGTGCAGCTTTGCCCTTCAGTACCACTGGTTCTTGATCATATGTAACCTCCTGAAATGCATGATCATCTATACCAATTCTTTAATTCTTTTTGGTATAGTGACTCTGTGTGTTCCATCCATGTTCTTTTGATGTTTCCTGCATCATTCATTATATTTCCCATGGAATCTTTCAATACTGCAATTTGAGGCTTAAATCTTTTCCTCAGTTCTTTCCCCTTGAGAAATGGAGAGTGTGTTCTTCCATTCTGGTTTTCTAACTTCAGCTCTTTGCACATTACATTATAATAATTGATTCTGTCTTCTCAAGCTGCTTTTTGAAATCTTCTGTTCAGTTCCTTTATCCTGTCAATTCTTCTGTTTGCTTTAGCTACTCTCTGTTCAAGGGCAAGTTTCAGAGTCTCTTCTGACATCCATTTTGGTCTCTTCTTCCTTTTCTGTCTTCTTAGTGACCTTTTGCTTTCTTTACAGATGATGTTCTTGATGTCATCTCACAATTCTTCTGGTTTTCAGTCACTGGTAATGAATGCATCAAATCTATTCTTTAGATGGTCTCTAAATTCAGGAGGGATATAATCAAGGTCATATGCTGGTTCTCATGGACTTTTTCAAATTGTCTTCAACCTCAATTTGAACATGCATATGAGCAGTTATGGTCTGTTCCAGTCAGCTCCTGGCCTTGTTTTGGCTGAAGATACTGAGCTTCTCCATCACCTCTTGCTATTGATGTAGTTGATCTGATTCCTGTGTACTCCATCTGGTGAAGTCCACGTGTATATCCATTGTTTGTGTTGTTGAGAAAAAGTATTTGCAATGAATAAATCACTGATCTTGCAAAATTCTATCATGTGATCTCCAGCATCACTATCACCAAGGCCGTATTTTCCAACTAACGGTGATTCTTCTTTGTTTCCAACTTTTGCATTCCAGTCACCAGTGATAATTAACACATCTTAATTGCATGTTCGGTCAATTTCAGACTGCATAAGTTGGTAGAAATCTTCAATTTCCTCATCTTTGGCTTTGGTGGTCGGTGCATAAATTTGAATAATAGTAGTACTGACTGGTCTTTCTCATAGGTGTGTGTATATTATCTTATCACTGACACCACTGTACTTCAGGATAGATCTTGAAACATTCTTTATGATGATGAATGCCATGCTATTCCTCTCCAATCTGTCATTCCCAGCATAGAAGATCATATGGTAGTCTGATTCAAAATGGCCAAAACTGGCCCATTCCAGCTCACTAATGCCTAGGATATCTATCTTTATGACCCCACATGGAAAGTGAGAATTCTACCACACTGCTGTCATAAATCATCCAAGTCATGATACATGACCAATAGGTCAAGATGTTCTTGGAAACAAGGGACATATAAAACTGAAGAATGATTGAGATACTAAAACTTCTGGTAAATTTAAAATATATTGGGCTATGTTGTTAAGTGCTGCCAAGTCAACCTCAACTCACAGCGACCCTATGTACAACAAAATTAAAACACCACCTAGTTCTGTGCCATCCTCACAATGCTTGCTATGCTTTAACCGATTGTTACAGCCACTGTGTCAATTCATCTTGCTGAGGACTGTTCCCCCTCCTTCGCTGACCTTCTACTTTACCAAGAATGATATCCTTCTCCAGAGATTGGCCTCTTCTGACAACTGACCAAAGTACATGAGATAAAGTCTGGCCATTCTCAATTCTAAGGAGCATTCTGGCTACACTTCTTCCAGATCTGTTCATTCTTATGGCAGTCCATGGTATTTTCAGGATTCTTCCCCAACATGACAATTCAAATGTATCAATTCTTCTACAGTCTTCCTTATTCATTGCCAGCTTTCACACGCATGGAGGTAACTGAAAATAGCATGCCTTGGGCTTGGTGCACCTTAGTCTTCAAAGTGGCATCTTTGGACTACAGTTATATTGGACTATTGCTAAAGGGGAAAGGAAGCGGCATCTTTTGACCTCCTCTAACTATAAAAGAGGAAGACAGAATCACCATCAACAGCCCAAGGCCTGTTCCTATGAGGCCTGACATGCTACCACCCTCTAGCCCTCTTACCAACCTTAGCACCAACCGTACTTCCCACAGTCTCCACCACCTCTTTGCTGGGTTCAATAATTTCCTGCAGTGGCCACAGAGAACTCACAGATTATGGGTTTTATTAGGGAAGCAGCAGGCTACAATTCAAGTTCAGGAATGCACTCAGGATAGTTCTTTGATCAGGACACTCTCCCCTCTGCTGTGGCCTTGGACACACCTTTCTGGCCTCTGCCTCTGTGGGCCAGGTAAGCCTGCTGCTGTCTCGTGCCTCTTGGTTCGACTGCCACCATCTCTCAGCCAGACATCTCTATCAGCCAGCAGTGAGAATCCCCCTCTGTCTCTTGGAGGGCTCATTTTAAGCCTGGCAGAGTAGCAAAACTAACCAATTTCAACAACAGAGTTCTACACACCTAAGAGAGAGCAAACTTTCCCAAAAGATTACTTTGTGCTGCTCCAACAGAAATACTCCAGGTGGAGTTTAAAATCAGGAGTTTAAAAGCAGCTACTCAGTTGCTCAGGGCAAATTCCACCATGGAATTAATTGTAATTCTCATTACAAGAAGTAACTGCTACCAGCTGCCCAGCTAAATTGACACATACTTGCATGGTCCCACCCAGTAATCCAGTGGGAGTTATAAAGACTATGGCTAGAAAAGTCATACCATGAAACATGAAATTCACTACCCCACAATTTATGTTGTTGCTGTTATGTGCCGTTGAGTCGACCCAACTCATAGTGACCCCTCCTTGGGTTTCCGAGGCAATATCACTATGGAAATAGATTGCCCAACTTTCCTTCCAAGGAGTGGCTGGTGGGTTTGAACCACCAGCCTTCTGGTTAGCAGTCAAGTGCCTTAGGCACTACGCTACCAGAGCTCCCACACCACAACTATAAACTTGGTAATAAAATTAAAATGTCAAATGGAGCAACACATCTCATAACTTACCTTTTCTGAAGTTAATAAAGAAGTGCTTTGGATCACATTGTCATTCTTTGTATTATATTAAACAGTAATGTTTAAGGAGAAGCATTTATAAATTACTTTTTTTTTTTAGTTCAAAGCTAGTTGAATAAAACTAATTTCATATGATTCAACCTGATGAAAACCTCACCAGGGAAGTTTATAAAAGTATTTATTAAAAGGGAGTTGGTGACTCTCCTGAGTGTAACTGAATATACATTAAACTATTAACAGGTAATAATATGCACATCTTTCTACAGAAATTAGTTCTAATCCAAAAATCACTATTTGCTCTTGTTTTACCTGCATAGTGCTTTCCATATCCTCTAATCTATCAGTGACCCCAAGCTTCAGCCAAATTCACATATTTTCTAATTTTAACTTATAAAATTTATAGGTTTTTTTAAAATATTTTGTTTCCTCATCTATACGATTATCTGTTGAGCATCTATGACATATCAAATACTATGCTACCAGAGTACACGTGAAGATTTCATAATCTCTAGAAAGACAGTCTAACCTATGAACAACATAATAATAGAGATATAAACAAAGGGCTGTCAGGTCAGAGAAGGAATCAATGAACAGTGTAGAGGAGAGTTTTCAGATGGCTTCTTCTAGTATTTTTCTTGACCAATCACAAAAGAGACAATCCCAGTGAAAGCAGTAAATTCCATTTTTTCCTTAAATCTACAGCTACCAATTTTCTCATGTATATAGTAATCTTTTGTGTGTAAAAAAAAAAAAAAACGCACAAAAGACTTTAAAATTTTTTCTTAATCTGACAAGAATTTAATAATTACCTATTTCATCAGTGAAAGAGCACAATATCTAACACATGAATTTAAACTGTTTTTGAAGAAATCTGGCATTCCAATTTTGTCTATATTGATTTTCTTAATCACCTGTGGCATTTTCAGTTTATAACAGTCAAGAGGAAATAATTCTTATTCAATTAAGCAATTCTGAACCCTTAGAAGGAGGAGCTATACACATATAATTACTAGTATAATTACTAGTTGGACAATTTTTACCTTTTCCAGGTGAAACCAATGTATTTTAATGCTTCTTCAGCTAAACAATCAAGAACGTAGCAAACATGCTCTCCATAACCAGACTTTAATTTTGAAGGAGGAAAATCTGTAGTTCTTCCCTAAAATATGAAAGATAAAGGAGTATTATTTGTTATTTATATTCCAAATGTCAAAATACTTATTACTCTGCATTTTTCAAATATGAATTAATAACTTTAGTTACATTGTCCAATAGAAACTCATATCTTTAGTTTTTTCTTTATAAAAACAAACTATTGATGCATAAAAAACTAAAGGAAAATAAAGACATTTTGTTGTCAAAAGTATTAAATTAAAAAGCATTAACTCCAGGGCAGCAGAGCCAATCACTGACCCTGTTGGAATGAAGATCAGTGAAACTACCAGCTTGGTATCATTGGCCAACCACATGAAGGACAGAGACTCACTTGCAAAAATTAGTAACGTGTGCCAAAAATGTCTCACTGTCTATCCTCTAGAAAAGTCAAAATGAAAAGCACAACTGCTATCTGCTCCATTAAATCAAGGTTCCCTTTCAAATGTAGTGTTTCAGCTTCCTAGTTTATCAGTTTTAAGAAGAACTAAGCACCCATAAAGTTACCTCCTAGATATGTCATAATTAAGAAAAATATTACTTCGGGCTGTACGTTGAGTATTTTTTAGAAGTGGCACTAATGCTGTAATATCAACCATTCTGAGGTTTTAGCTGAAAATAAATTGGCTATAGTCACATTCAAAGGATTCATCTAAAAGCTACCATTTATATAGTTGAATTTTCTATATTAAAATTCATAACTTGACAACATGCAGAAAGAGAGGTTTTACACTTACAAATGATCGAAGCTCTGATAATATGTTGGATATTGTTGCATTAGGATCATCATATTCTTGAGGCTGTTCAAAGGGACGTCCTGCTTTGTTAATCAACCAAGCAGCAAAAGTGCAAAACATGTAGAACTGTTCACCAGGGTTGGTAGGCAGTGCAAAATAGTGTCTGTTTTAAAACAAGGTAGGGAGGATGTGAAATAATTCAAGTAAATCTATAGTTATTAAAAGTGCTTGGTCCAAAACTGCCAAAGTACTTTTTCTTTGTTGTTGTTGTTTGCCATCGAGTCGGCCCTGACTCATAGCGACCTCTCCTTGGGTTTCGGAGACAGTATCACTACGGAAGTAGGAATGCCCAACCTTCCTTCCGAGGAGTGGCTGGTGGGTTTGAACCGCCAGCCTTCTGGTTAGTAGTCAAGTGCCTTAGCCAAAGGGCCCTGATATTTTACCCTTTGAAGTTTCCATTAATCTACAGCACTCACTAAAAACTAAAGTTTTTAACCAACAGACTTAGGGCAGTTACTACTGTATATAAAATATTAGTTCAAAGTCCTTACATGCAGAAAATGTAGTTCATGTTAGAAAACAGTATGTGGAACTTTTGCCGAAATCATTCCAATTCCAGGAATAATTAATAAGACAGTGCTTCCTGAAAATGGTAACTTGGATTAAGAGAATCTAGGTTAGAATAGACCTTAAAGATTATTCACTTTGCATTTTTGCACATTTTACAATATTACTGTTATTTTTACATATAGTTTCTATCCTATCAGCTATATTAATTAGCTATTCTCAACTTGGCTGCATATATGAATAACCTGAGGAGATCATAAATTAATAGTGATGCCCACCAAACACTGCCTCTTTCCTTATCAGTACCTTAAATCAGAACTTTTGGGAGCAGAGCCTCAGTATTTTAAAAGCTCCCTAGATTGTTCAAAGTTGCAGAGAGGATTAAGCAGCACATTCCCACTCTAACAAGCATGCTGAAATTTGCTAAATCTCTTAACCTACTAAAAATAGTCCTATAAGGATCAATATAATTTATACCTAAACATGTCAGGAATAAGGAGCCCTGGTGGTACAGTGGTTAAAACGCTTGGCTACCAACCAAAAGGTTAGTAGTTCAAACCCACCAGCTGCTCCACGAGAGAAAGATAAGGCAGTCTGCTTCCATAAAGATGACAGCCTTGGAAACCCTATGGGACAGTTCTACTCTATCCTATAGGGTTGGTATGAGTCAGAATCTACTTGATGGCAGTGGGTATGGTAGGAATAAAATATGCTAGCAACAACATTCAAGTCAGTTTGATCAAAAATCTTACCTTGCTTTATTTATAACTATTACTATTATGTTTGTATTATAGTTATTATCACTATTGTTGTAAGAATCAGTAGTCTACTACTTCATGTTTCCCAATCTTTTTTTTTCCTTCAGTATAAAATATAAACACTGTAGACAATAGCATAAAGTTGAGAAAGACAAAAAAAGGACATGAAGCCCTTCTAGGTAAGTATGTTCACAACCCTTCAAAGCACCCACCCACCAACAACTCACCTTTTCCCTATAGGCTGATAACTCCTCGAGTAGAGAGGAAGAGATACTATGATAGATCTAGGTCAGTAGTTCTCAAACTTTAGTGTTCATCAGAATGACCAGGAAGGCTTAAAAAAATCCAGACTGCTGGGTGCCACCAGTCTGATACAGTAGACTTGAGAAGGGGCCTGAGAAAGTACATTTCTAGTAAGTTCCCAGGTGACACTGGTACTGCTATACGTTGGTACAATGACCACACTTTTGAGAGCCACTGAACAAGGGAATCTCCACTCAGATCCATGATTCAAAATATCCTGCTGAAACTCTGAGGGAATAGTACAGAGCTGATATCAGTAGAACCTTGAGGTCATTTTCTTTTAGTTTCAAAAATATATTTGTGAAAAAAAGCAATGCATTTTGATCAACAGAAAATGTAAGTTGTCTATGTTATTCTGATGAATTCATTTTTATTTGTAGTAACTCCCAATCCTGCAACTTGTATCACAAATCAAACAACACTACACTTCTTTTCCTTCTAACTTTTCTGCTATTATGAATAGACTCAGCAATAGGGATAGCTTATATAAAGTCTACATAACATAGAATTCAAGTTATTGGAAGAGAGCAGATAACAAACATCAGGACTGTTAAGGGAAATTACTTGAGCTTAGTTACAGACTTTAATAGAAAGTGCTAGAGACTTAATCTAAAATGCCACTTATACGACAAAATAAACATATATAAGTATTAAAGTTTAAAAAAAAAACAAACTCACTGCCCTCGAGTGGATCCGACTCATAGAGGCCCTTTCTTGGGGTGAAGGCAAAGCTATAAAATGTACTAGTCTAAGTATATAAAGCTAGGCAACACTGGAGGACAAAGTGGGCCAGTCCATTACACTAAACAAGTAATGCCAGTGCCTTCAGGATACGATGAACTTTTTCGCACCCAAAATAAGGGGTGAACTTTAGGTTCTATGATAAAGGGGCAATTCCAATAGCTGTCATTTCATTTGTCTTCTTCAATTCTGAGTGTACTGTTAATGCAAAGGCAGAAGTCCTAAACCACAGCAATCAGTCAAGTTTACTAAGTGATCATCGAGGTGGTAGGTAGTTGCAGGGACAGGTTCTCACACGGAAAAACAAACAGGAATAGATCTAAATTATAACAGTACTACAGTACTCGTCTATGGGGATGAGATTATGGGTAATTTTATATTTTTCTACACATTTTCTTGTGTTTTTCTAAGTTACCTACAATGGATGTTTTCATAATCACAAAACACAGTGTGTTTTGTAGAGTTGAGTGGGTATGTTTTAAGGAATAAAAGACTGTCTTCTAGTCCTTCATGCCGTCCATTCCAAAACTTGTTTACTCGCTACAAAAATACCAAGTATGCGCGGTCGCCGCCAAGTTTGTGGTGAACCGCCCTGCCCAGCTTAGGAAGACGGAGACAAGGGCTTGCTAAACCGCGCTTAGCGTTCCCCAGCAGGATGATGGCAGGCAGCGCCCAGGGCTCTGCCGGCACTGCGCTTGGGACGAGGGGACCCACCTGGACGGGGGCTTCAGGTTGTTCTTGCGGAGGAGCTCCTCCTCATAGCGGAGCAGTTTCAGCTTCTCCACCAGGTCCTCCATGACCACGAACATGTGGTAGGCCGCGCCAGGCCCTCGCTCCACGACCACCTCTCCGGCCCCCTCGCCGCGAGACCGAGACACTCCATCCTCCAGACTTGACGGCGTGACTATTGCGGCGGCAGCAGCCATCGCAGGACAAACAGAAAAACCCTGGTGTGGGACCGGGCCCACAAACCTCTCTGGCTCAGCCGCCCGCGCTGCCGCAGGAGCGCGGCGACCTGTTACCAAGCGACAGCCAGGCAACCTATCGCTATGGAAACAAGACTCCGCCTCCTTCCTGGGACCACCCTCCAACTGGGGCGGACCTCCCAAACGACGTCACCATGGTCCCCGCCCCTTCTCCAGAAGCTAAGGAGAAGGGGGCTTGGAGGCAGCCCGGTCTCTCACGGAAGCGTGGCATTCCGCACCCCACATCCGGCCACGCCTCCTCTATCTTCGGCTTAAAGGCAGAGGCGAAGGCGCGTGCGTTTCGGCTGAGCTTTCCTAGAGGCGTGGCAGGTTGGAACTGTTGGTTGCTAAGGCCCGCTGAGCGGGCATCTGGGCCTGCTGGTAGCAGTTAAAAAGATCAAAGGGAGAGGAAGATGCTCAAGTATGGAAAACTACTCTAGCCCACTGATACATACATACATACATATACATATATATATAATTTTTTTTTCCTCTATATTGATATTTTTCATAGTTAAGTAGCGGATATTGTAGCTTTCATTTTTATCAAGAATTTTCCAACAGACAGGCTTCTTTTTAAAAATATAATCTCTAGCTCATTAAACCAAAAAAATCAAACTCACTGCCCTGGAGTCAGATCGGACTCATAGCGGCCCCTCCTTGGGTTTCCCAGGAGGTATCACTGCAGAAGTAGGTTGCCCAACCTTCCTCCCGGTGCGGCGGATGGGTTTGAACCACCAGCCTTCTTGTTAGCAGTCAAATTAGGCAATGTTTTATAGATCTACCTTGGAGATATTGCGAGTTCTGTTTCAGACCACCACAATAAAGTGAGTATCACAAAAAAGTGAGTCACAAATATTTTGGTTTCCCAGTGCATATAAAAGTTATGTTTACACTATACCGAGTCTATTAAGTGTACAATAATCCTAAGTTTGAAATACTTTGAGAGTTACCAAAATGTGACACAGAGACACAAAATGAACACATGTTGGAAAAATGACACCAATAGACTGCTTTACCCAGGATTATTCAAACCTTGAGTAATAATGCAGTTATCTGCAAAGGTTTGAAAAATGGCCTGCTGTCACTCCAGTGCTAGGAAAGGGGTCGCTTGGAAGTACGCGGGGAAGAAGAAAGACAGGATGAGCAAAACAGGAGGCTTTAAAGAATTTGTTCTACCTCAAAAACAAAAATACTAAACTCACAGCCTGCTGCTTCATCTGTTTCAAGTCCCTCATACGTAGTGTAAAGTTTTTGAGTGTCTTATTAAAACAACAAAGGAGATTATTTTGGGAGGAATTTCGCTGCAATGTGTAAGTATTTGCTACCTGCTATTGAAGTAGATTGCCTCATCTTCCTCGGAAGGAAGATGAGGCAATCTACTTCCGTAGTGATACTGCCTCGGCAACCCAAGGAGGGGTCGCTATGAGTCGGGTCCGACTCAACAGCACACAACAACAACAATTGACCTAAAAAATACAAGAAAGGGAATGTAACTGACCACTATGTGGACCAGCTTTATATTCTCAAAAAGCTTGTGTATCAAGCAGTTCTTCTAACAGCTGCTTAAAAAAATGAGGTAACTGGTAAAGTCCTGGAGGATTCCTGGGAGAAGAAAACTTAGGAGTTTGAACACGTGTTTTGTGTTTAATGTGACGGATCTTTGATCTCTTGTATCTTCCACTAAAGATATAGAAGAGTTGCATTTTTTTTTTTTTTTTTTACATAAATGAAGTTTGAAATGTGCCTTAATGTCTTTGGTTTTGTTAGAAAAATGGGCAGAAGAGCACTTTTGTTTTAATACCAGTGTAGAGCTAACTAGTATGATACTAATAAAAACATCAAAGTGAAAAATCAGAAAGACAAGTGTCTTTCTCTATTCACCAAAGAAAGGAAATACAAAAACAAACAAAACTGACCTATGTGGAAAGTAACACAAATGGGAAGACTGGGAAATGCTTTAATTAGCTTTTAAAAATAAAAGTAGACAGGAAAATTGGGTTTAACTCTACCCCACCGCCAAATTGGTCTTTCCTTTACTAAACTTTATGGAAGCAATGATTGTCTCCCCTACATGCCCACTTTCACATGTTTGGGAGGTGTGGTGTGTTATGATACATCTGTATAACTTTCAGGGCACAAAATAGATGTATAGCTTTTTAGGATGAAAAATCAATAAAAGCTGAGATATATGCTTTGAGGTGTTTGGTTAATGAACAAGCAACTTTTGGCTTTTAAAATGACTCTGAAAAAAATGTCAGAAGGCAAAGGGTAAATTGGTTACACCCAGATCAAGATGGATGTTCCCGCAGGACATGCTGCCTATGTGAGATATTCTGACATTTTCAGGACCTTATTTAACATTCAGTGTGAAATAATGAAGCATTTCATTGCATTTTGGCTGATGAGAACACTTTGAAAATGATGGATGTATTTTAACTGGGTGAGGGGGAGGCACAGAAACTCTCCAGGAACCTAACCATTTCCTTCCCAGGTGTAGTATTGATTCAGCCTGGGTTGAAAGCTATGTGAAGAATGATTCTTCTCTTTAATTTAGTTCAAAAAAAAAAAAAAAAGCAACAACACTAAAATATACAGTGTTGCCTATAACTAGCACAGAGAGAATGAAAGAAATAAAGGAAAAGCCAACTTTTCAATACCGTGTGTTTTCCCACAGTAAAAAGATGGGAAAGAACACTAAAATGCCATGTTATTTTTATAAAGTCCTGGGATAATTTTTGTTCACTTCTTAGTTACCCACAGTAGTTGATAACACACCAAAAGGTCATTTCCCTGATGGAAGTAGTTTCCTTCACGGGTGTAAGAGAATGCACATTCAAATCCTGTCTCAGCAACTTGCAAGCTTTGGTATACATATCTTTTGGTGTTTTGTTTGTTTTTGCAGGACTGGCTCATGCATTCACAAAGGAGTTGAGACCTGAAGAGAATGTAATGTTGAAGTATATTAATGCTGCCTTTACAGAACCTTAAAGAGAGATTTTTTCCTTGTTCTACTGAATTAACCACAGTTAATAGCTAGGCTTCTGACTTTGACTTTGATCTCTTGCAAACTGTCTATGAAATGACCAGAGGTAATTTTGAGACCTTCAGGGTCTTCCTGTGAATGGGATAGCTCTGAAAACAGAGTAGCTCCTCATTTCATGTTGACTGAACAGCATCTCAAAGAAAGCTTATTTAAGCAAAATGGATTTATCTGAAAGGTGTTTGGTAAGAATGGGGGCAAAAAGAAGGCAGGTTCAAAGACGGAGGGAGGCTTTCAAGCTGCATCTCCAAATATAAGCACAAGTCCTCTAAGAAGTGCAGACAGACTTGAAGAACAAATCTGCTTTGTGCTATAAGATGGTTTAGTACCACTTATTCACAATTTTAAAAACTGAGAAAACTGCTAAGAGAATAATACTTCTTTAATTAAAAAAAAGTCTCCTAAAAATCTTGGGGAGGGGGTGTGAAACCTTAGATGCCATGACTTTTAAAGCCAAGAACAAGGTAAAGACATTCACTCTTCAAAACTATACGAGAGATCAGAGCCAGTACATTGAGACAGAAAACTTTAAAAAATAGGGATATTGCAGAAGAAGAAATGATTGCAGGTGACATGATTAAAAAGTAAAAATCCAAGAGAATCTGCAGACTAGCTTAAGACAGCTCAACAAGATTGCTTTATATGATATCTAAATTAAAGAAAAATTATTAGAAATAGTGGTTAGGAAAAAAAAACAAACACTCAATACAAACCATGTATATAGTACCTAGGAATAAGTCTATTATATCTTTGTGGAAAAGTTGTCAAACTTTATTGAATGTCCTGGAAAAATCTAAATAGAAAAATAATGGTCATGGAGGAGAAAAATCATTATCTTTGCCCAGTCTATAAACTTAGTGCAATTTTGACTTAAATTCCTAGAGAGTTCATCCTGAAATTCATAAGTAATTTTTTTAACTTTTTTTTTTTAATTGTGATTTGGGTGAATATTTTTAACTTTTTATTGTGATGTGGGTGAGGGTTTACAAAGCAAATCAGTTTTCCATTCCACAATTTATATACACTTTGTTTCATACCATTGGTTATAATCCCCACAATATAACATCTGTTATTCCCATTTCCTCCCTTTATTTATCCATTCCATTCCTCTTCCTTTCCTCCTTTCCTGCCTTCTAAACTTTGTCCTTGGGCAAATGCAGCACTTTTGATCTTGAATGCCTGATTGTTCTAAGGATCATGTACCTTTTTTGATGTTATTGTTTATATTATAGACCTGTCTATTGTTTGGCTGAAAGTTGAGCCATATGGATAAGTTCAGTTTCAGGCTTGAAAAGTGACTGAGGGCCATGGTCTTCAGGGTTATACCAATGTCTATCTGGTCATTGAGCTTGGTCTTTTTTATGATTTTGAATTTTGTTCCACATTTTTCTCGCACTTATCCACCTTTTAATGGGATCACAATCTGAGTAGTCAGTAGTGGTAGCTAGGTATCATCTAGCTGTTCTGGTCTCAGGGACATGGAGGCTGAGGTTTGCATGGTCTATTAGCCCTTGGAATTCATTGATTGCATGTGTCTTTGATAATCCTCACTCTTCTTTGCTCCAGATTTGTTGTTGTTGTTGTTGTTATGTGCCGTCGAGTCGGCCCCGACTCATAGCGACCCCTCCTTGGGTTTCGGAGGCAGTATCACTACGGAAGTAGGAATGCCCAACCTTCCTTCTGAGGAGTGGCTGGTGGGTTTGAACCGCCAGCCTTCTGGTTAGCAGTCAAGTGCTTGCTCCAGATAGAAAGAGACAAATAGTAGCACCTTAGATGGCCACTCACAAGTTTTAAAACTCCAGTCTCTACTCACCAAAGTACGATGTAGAAGATTGTCTTTGTGGACTATGTTATGCCAATTGACTTTGTTGTCCCCTAAGACTATGATTTTGAGCATCCAGACTCAGTGACTTACTCCCTCAAGTTGTTAGTTATGCCTAGGGAGTTTTCAGAAGCTCTGGTGGCATAGTGCCTAAGGCATTTGATTGCTAACAAGAAGGCTGGTGGT